TGTGTGTGTGTGTGTGTGTCAGAGGAAGCGGCCTCTTCCTGAGAGCAGTGTCCTCTGGGAAATGTAGTTATATCCTGCTCAGCCTCCTTCCTGCTCAGACCCTCTGTTGGGGGAGGGGGTGTAATGACTGATTAACGGTTGTATAGGATTATTGAACAGTTCTCTGATGTCTGAGCTCATCATGACAAACATGATCTGTTTTTTACAGAGACATTAAACCTGACAACGTCCTTCTCGATGTCAACGGTCACATCCGTCTGGCCGACTTCGGATCCTGTCTCCGCATGATGGAGGACGGCACGGTAACGCTAATGTTAATGATAAACTAATGCTATTTAACGGCGCAGAGCTAAAGTGAAGCAGGTTCAGTTCATGGTCTCGCTGCAGGTCCAGTCCTCGGTGGCGGTGGGAACTCCGGACTACATCTCCCCTGAGATCCTGCAGGCGATGGAAGACGGGATGGGACGCTATGGACCCGAGTGTGACTGGTGGTCTCTGGGAGTCTGCATGTACGAGATGCTGTATGGAGAAACGCCGTTCTACGCGGAGTCGCTGGTGGAAACTTACGGAAAGATCATGAACCATGAGGTGATCAGATTTGATCTTGTGTGTCTCTCTACGTCTCAGCTTGTCCTCATTGCTGTTTCCAGGTCGTCTGTTTGTCTCCAGAGTCTCGTTCCACTTCTTCTTTTCTAAATCTGAACTCGCCTTGCTCTTCTTTTCTGGCTCACTTTCTCCTTGTCCTCTTTGTCTCAGGAGCGTTTCCAGTTCCCGTCCCACGTGACCGACGTGTCGGAGGATGCCAAAGACCTGATCCAGCGCCTGCTTTGCTCTAGAGAACATCGGATTGGTCTGAACGGGCTCTCCGACTTCAAAAGCCACGCGTTTTTCAGTGGCATCAACTGGGACAACATCCGGTCGGCTGAGGCCCCCTACATCCCAGACGTGTCCTCGCCCACTGACACATCCAACTTTGATGTGGACGACGATGTCCTCAAGAACCCGGTGAGGATAATGGTTTCTGCCCGAACTGACAACCATGACACCCCCCCACCCACCCTCAATGTCATGACCTCATTTATGTGTTTGTCTTTCAGGACATCACCCCACCAGTGTCTCACACTGGTTTCACTGGTCAGCACCTCCCCTTCGTTGGCTTCACCTACACCACCGACAGTTGCTTCTCCGACCGCAGCTCCGTCAGCCAGGCAGGGCACAGCCGCCACCAGGAAACTGAGGGAGGGGTTGGGGGAGGTGAAGAGGTGGAGGCGTTTGAGAGGAGGATCCGCCGCCTGGAGCAGGAGAAGCAGGAACTGAACCGCAAACTGCAGGGTGAGTAAGAGGCAGTCTGACTTGCTTCACATGAGTCACAGTGTGTTTACTGATCCTGACCTTGAACTCTGATCCTGACGCTTGACCCGTGACCTCTGGCCCTGACCCCCTATTCCTGATGTCTGACCCTGACCCCTGATCCTGTCCTCTGACCCCTGATCCTAACCCCTGATCCTGTCCTCTGACCCCTGATCCTAACCCCTGATCTTGTCCTCTTACCCTGTCCCCTGACGTCTGACCTCTGACCCTGATTTATGATCCTTACCAAACTCTAACCCTGCAGAGTCGACTCAGGCGCTGCAGGCCCCGACTAGAGGTGGAACTCTGACTCGAGACAAAGAGATCAAGAAATTGAATGAGGAGATCGAGCGGCTGAAGAAGAAGCTGGCAGGTCAGAGGACAAACAACCACTTTATCAGTGTCGCTGTAGTAACAGTGGTAGTTGTCATGGTAATAGTAGAGGAGTTCTAGTTGTTCCAGTTGAAACTGTTCGAGTTCAGGTGTTGAAGCTCCACCCCCTTTGCTTTTGCAGACTCTGATAGGCTGGAGCACCAGCTAGAGGAGGCGGTTACCCTCAGACAGGATTATGAGAGCTCCGCCTCCAAACTGAAGAGTGTGGAGAGACAGGTGAAGACACTGAGGCAAGAGAAGGAGGATGTCCATAAGGTAAGACACCCGGGCATGTCACACAATGAACTGCACTGCTCCTTCTCTCTCTCCTCATCCTCCACTCTTTCCTCCTCTCTCTCTCCTCTCTGAGCAGCAGCTGTCCGACTCTCTGGAGCGCCTGAGGAGTCACACGAAGGAGTTGAAGGAGGCTCACTCTCAGAGGAAGTTGGCACTGCAGGAGTTCTCAGAGCTGTCAGAGAGGATGACCGAACTCCGTGCCTCCAAACAGCGTCTGTCCCGTCAGCTCCGGGACAAAGAGGAGGAGATGGACGCCCTCCTGCACAAGATGGATGCCATGAAACAGGAGATCCGCAAGACTGAGAAGAACCGCAAGGAGGTGAGAGTCTTGAGGGGATAGGAGGGGGGAGGTGGTTGAAAGCTCTGAAGACGATGTAAGTTGACCTTGAATCGAGTTATTTAAGTCTAAATAAAGAGCTTTCAAGTCTGTCAGTCTTCTTCAGCAGGGGACGCTGTCTCTGTGAATGTATGACACTGTGAGCCGCATAATAAAAGGCTTACGTGTGTTCTGGTTTCTCAGCTGGAGGCTCAGCTGGACGACGCCAAGGCCGAGGCATCAAAGGAGCGGAAGCTGAGGGAGCACAGTGAGGTCTACTCCAAACAGCTGGAGACGGAGCTGGAGAGCCTAAAGGTTAGAGGTCACACAAACACACCTGTTCTCCTAAAGACATATTAAGTAACTCACAACCCTCACACACTAGAAGCTCATCCTGGCTCTGGTTCTGGTCTCAGTCTCAGCAGGGTCGGGGAGCAGCCACCGGGGGGGCAGAGTCTCAGCAGGAGCTGTCCCGTCTGAAGGCGGAGCTTGATAAGAAGATTTTGTTCTATGAGGAGGAGCTGCTGAGGAGAGACTCTGCCCACTCCTCAGAGATCAAGAACCTCCGCAAAGACCTGCACGAGTCTGAGGGGGCACAGCTCGCTGCCAACAAGGAGCTGCTGCAGGTCCGAGACAAGCTGGACAAGGCCAAGAGAGACAGGTGAGTCCTAAAGCAGGTGTGAAAGAGGGACAAGTGAGTCCTGAAGCAGGTGTGAAAGAGGGACAGGTGAGTACTGATCCAGGTTTGTGTTTCCTGCAGACAAACTGAGATGGATGAAGCTGTGGTGACGCTGAAGGGAAATTTTGAGCGAGAGAAACATCTGCTGACGGAAGAAAACAGGAAAATGACAGTGGAGACAGACAAGGTGACACAACTACACAATGCACCATAACACAACATCACAGTAATCACAGTACTGATACAGTGTGTGTATTGTTGTTTTTGTGGTCAGTTGTGCGCGTTCGTGGACAAACTAACTGCTCAGAATCGTCAGCTGGAGGATGAGCTTCAGGATGTGTCGTCGAAGAGAGAGAGTGTCGCTCACTGGGAGGCTCAGATTGCTGAAATCATCCAGTGGTGAGTGTGTCCATCAAACAGGAAGTGTGGCCTACCACTCGGGGAAGCTCCACTCTCAACGTGTGTACGTGTGTGTTCAGGGTGAGCGATGAGAAGGATGCTCGAGGTTACCTTCAGGCTCTGGCCACCAAGATGACGGAGGAACTGGAAACACTACGTAGCTCCAACCTGGGGACCAGGCCTCTGGTACGACACACATACACACTGTAACACACACACACACACACACA